TGGGTTTCGAGCATGTGGGTTTCGAGCAAGTGGGTTTCGAGCAAATGGGTTTCGAGCATGTGGGTTTCGAGCTCGTGGGTTTCGAGCAAGTGGGTTTCGAGCAAGTGTCATACTCCCTAAAATTATAGCTATTATTCAACTAATTTATTAGTTTTAAACTAATTATTTGAGAATTAAGTATAATTTTAAATTATTTTTGTCTTAATTTTTTATAAACTGTCATGGTCATTTTTATTTAAATTTTGCTAAAAGTTTTAACCAAATCTAAACTGAACGCTACGGCAATGTTGGCTAGCGATTGGCTAATATATGATGAGAAATGGCACAATTTTAACATCAAGTATCGCGTAATTGACAGCTCAACAAATTTTAACTCATTTAACGTACGGCTAAAAGTATGCGACTGGTTATCGCACTGCGAGGACACTCTCATGGTCATTATTCCAGAGACTACGGGCAAAACGACCAGGACATTTACCGTTAAGTTTAGACCGCTTACAAATACCAAATTTATTCGCTTTATGTATTACGTCGAGTACTTTAAACCACTGATAAGTAGCTCCAAAACCGAAGACACGATATCATTTGAATTGGAGAATATTTACCTTGGTAATAAATGCGATGAGGGTAATACTTGCCAAAATGGCGGCGATTGTGAGCCAGTTGAGTTGAATAATGCTAAATGTAAATGCCCAGTTGATGATAAATATGTCGGTGATAAGTGTGAGATTGAAAACCTATGCAAAACCAATGTAAGTAAATATTTTTAAAATAATTATTTTGTTTAAAAAATTAACCATGTTTAATTCTTTAGTTTAATACCGAGTGCACAAATAGTGGTGGTCAATGTTATCGACAGGGGTATGATACATTTAAATGCGTGTGCGGTAATACAGTGAGCAGGTACGATAATTATAATTAAAATCTATGTAAAAATATTTATAATTAATACATAATTAATTAACCTACAGTAATGAAAAATGTGCTAAAAAGACAAATGACCCTGTTATTGTTGATCAGAGTTGGGACAAAGTAGGTACTCGTTACGTGCCAAAGGCTGATAAAAATGCGCTCAGGGTGGATTTTGATACAGTCGATGCCGATATTTATCGCATTTGCATAGAAATTCTATACGACAATAAAAATGGTGAAGATCTCAAATTAAATCTGAACTATATCCCTGGTGAAACCAACCCAACCAAACAGACACTGATACAAAATGTTGCCCTTGGTACAACTAGCGATTCCAAACCGGGCGATGAAAAAATATGTTTACGGCACTATCGTAACGTTAACCATGATAAATTTTATATCGAGTTGAGCGTAACGGGTAAAATTGAGGCAACCAAATTTGGTATCACATTTTTTTCTGTGACAATTGTTGACAAACCACTGGAAACGCTACCATATTTAAAACACTGGACCGCGTGGAAAGAGCAAGGTGATAATGTCAATGATAATCCTGTAATTGCACAAAAGTGGACACATATACCTGACGATGAATCTATGTGGATCGTACCAAAAACGCAAACTAACACAGTTGAGATTAAGTTCAAAAGTAAGTTATTTATGTTGAATACGTCGTATTAATATTTCAAAATAAATTATTAATCAAGGTAAATTAAAATTATTAATTTATATTTAATAGCCAAAGTACAATACACCACCGAATTGACGGCGTATTTAATAAGTGATTGGATCAAATACGATAAAAATATAGCTAGTTCATTGAATTATGTTACCTTAGACATAACAGACACAAAAGCAACAGTGAAACAAAAATGGTTATATTTAGATAATAACAAAAACGTGGTGGAGCAATCGAAACAAATTGACAATGGCCATGTTCAATTAATTGTGCCACCGCAAAATGATGCCATCAAAATGTTCAAGATCATATTTGAAATAACGTATAAACTGCCGTCTACTGACCCGCCCGCTGTCAGTATCGATATAGAAATAACATTTAGACTGTTGCACCTTGGTGATCCCTGTGTTATTGACCAATTGGAATCGCAGTACACCCGGTGCGCGAACAAGGGTGTTTGCACAGGCACTGCACCCGCAGTGTTTACTTGCAAGTGTGATGATCACTATCTGGGCGATGATTGTAAGATTGACGTGTGTCAAAAACCGGTAACATCATTATATTTTATTAAGGTTATTTTAATAATAATTTTTACTAACTTATTTTTACGCTAATCATAATAACAGAAAATCCCCGGAACGACTTACGGGAAATATTGCGATACATTGAAAACATTACCAGCGCTGCCAACAACTAATAAAGATACCAAAACATGTATTGTGTCGGAAACGGATGCGAAAGTGTACCAGTGCAATTGTCCTCGTACTGATTTCCATTGGGCAACAAATGGTGAAAAGTAATTAAATTTTGTACATTTATTTTAAATATTGCATTAAGCTAGTATACGGTAAATGAAGTTGTGGATTTTAATACTAGTATATATTTTGTGTGTTTATAATAATCTAGTTTGTATCTAGTTTGTTTAGTAGCTTGTGACATTAATTGTTTAGTATTCTGTTAATATTATACATGTTTATATTTATCACGATTATCTAGATGTGTACGCAACAGCTACACCACTCGAGGTGAAATATGTTACGGCACAAACTGTCCCATATTTGACGCTCAGGTGTTGCCCTTTACGCACAAAGATCTACCGGTGTTTACCGATGATAAGCCCATAGTCGGCACCGTTTACTACTCGGACAAAAGCAATGAAAAACTAACTCTGGAGGCCGACGTCGACAAAGATGTTTGCGTTAAACCCCTGTCCTATCAAATCACCAAAACGTCATCCTTAGGGATCAGCGCCGGCGACATGAATCCCATTGCGTTTAAAACAACTTTATTTAACGGCGTTAATGACTGGTTTGATAGCACCAGCGCTGATGTATGTCTGAGCCATTTGACTCCCGGTGCGGACAAAAATCATTTAACACTTAAATCAGTTGTCGGAGACAACGGTTTGGTTGCCGTAAAGTGGACTCAATTAGTGACCGGCGAACGGAAAGCCAAAGACCCGCTTAAATATCTGACCCATTGGTTTCATGTAAATGATAAGGACTTTAATTTTGAGACTCAGTGGCCGGTGAGGTATGGATTCGCAAACGAGTGGACCATAATTCCCAAACCTACTGATAAGACATATACAATAAGTTTTAAAAGTTTGTCTCATTTATAATTTATAATATATTTAAAATGTCAAAATATGATCGATTTATTAAAGTTTAATTGTAATTAATTCATAGAATTGGCCGCAACTAAACCACACGAATCATATTTGATAAGCGATTGGATCGATAGACCTGAGGGTAAATACAACTTGAGGTTTGCATTTACTGACAAATCTAAGACTCCGTATTCATTGCAACCGATTCTGTTCGACAATAATATGAAACAAATAAATCTTCAGTTAATCGATGTATGTATTCATTTATATTTTATTACTTTTAAATAAAATGATGTATGTCAATATAAAAAAAACAATAATAATTCCGTATTATTATTTTATATTAAAGGATAAAATAACTAAATTAGAAGTGAACAAAATTGGTGCTCAAATATTTCGGATTGGATTTATTGTTTTGTACGAATCGGTTGACATTGATATAGAATTTGAGCTGACCTCGCTCAATTTGGGGGACCCGTGTATTGATGACAAAATGAAATATAACGAGTGTAGTGAGCATGGTCAGTGTCTGAGAGAGGGTATGGTTGCAGTTTGCAAATGCAATGATGATTATATGGGCAAGACTTGCGATGACAAAAATTATTGTAATAGACCAAATGTGGTAATAAAAATTAATAAACTGATAAATTAGTTATTAACTTAATAATGATTAACAAACTGTTTGTAATATAAACAATTACTAGGATGGCCCTGCTAAAGACAAAACTGGGAAAGTATACTGTGCAATTCCTGCTGTCGAGGCAGAGAGCTGCACACCATTATTGGACAATCGGTTTATGTGCGAATGTAAAGCCAATCGATATTGGGACTTCAAAGATTTCACGTGAGCAACATTAATAATGAGATTATCTTGATCCAGTAAATTATATATCGATATAATAAATAAAGTTTCAAGCTATTTAATAAATTAACTGAAATCTAATTGTTTAAGTATATATTTCAAAACAATTTTAAATAATTTACTATCAAACATTAGTTATACAAATGAGCCGTACTTTAAAATTTTTGATTTACAAAGAGTATCAAAGTAATAAATCATTTATTTAAACTAGATGTAAATCGTATCCTAAATGTGGGTCCAATACATGCAAATACAACAAACATCAAGAATGTGTTGAACCTGTATTGAGTGCGGATGCGCCCACTTGTGTCTGTTCCGCCGGTTATATCAACCAAATCATAGATCAGCCGAACGTCGAGATTGATTGTGTACCTGAAAATCCATGCAATAAGGGGCCCAACCCATGCTCGGACACGCAGGCCGTATGCGTGCCCTACGGCGCCAATGATTACATGTGCAACTGTCCCAATGGATATTCTAAGAGTGAGTCCATTTAAATAGTAATTTATAAAGAATAACAATTAACATGACTGGTTGACATTTTACACCATGGTAATTGGTTTATTTACAATTAACTTATAATCAATATATTTAAACAGGGATTGGCGCTACAGAGGCACAGTCTACGTGCCAGGCATTGCAATGTTTATTTCCCGGTCTCAACAAATGCCAACAAAAGTGTACACCCGATGCGACTGTTGTGGGTTTGGGATACAAATGCGAGTGCGGCGCCGATTACACTCTCAATGCCGATGGAAATACCTGCACCTGTTTGACGGATAAACCCAATTGTGTCGCTAATAGCAATACGTATGTCAAGTCCTCCGGTGCTGAACCCGTTTGCAGGGATGGCCTCAAATTGAACGAAAAGAAAGACCAGTGTTTACCCAATCGTATGTACAAATTGATAAATTTTCAATGTAATGTAGCGATTATTTGATTTTTTACATATGATTACCATGTTGATATAGACGAATATGACCCACGTGACATATGCGAGAATGGTTTGGACAAAACTGTTCCCGAAGACCAACCAATTAAATGTCTATGTGAGGGGCCATATGTGTTAAACACGGAGACAAATACGTGCAAATTGGCACCGATTTGCGCACCGGACGCACCCGGCGGTAGTGACTGTAAGATTAAAAACGGGTATTGCGTTTACCAGAGCGAAGACAATGCAAAAAAATATAAGTGTGTATGCGATGCGGCACATGGTATGAACGATCTAGATGTTTGCGTTAATAAATGCGACACAAAACTAACGGCCACACAAGCGTTGACGGGCAGTGAGGAGTGCCGAAAGGCTAACGCCCTGTCATGTAATCCACTATTATATACGCCGGGAATTAAACCAAACATATACTGCGAATGCGAGTCCGGGTACGAGTGGAACGGCGACCGGTGTTCGCTCATCGGAAACACCGGTCAGTTTAGCATCGAGTTTAAGCCTATGATCGAACCGGTATTACCCGAGTCGGGTATTAAAGAACCGGTACAAACTCTACCAGGAGAAGTTGCGGCCAGTTTTAATCCACTGTTTAGATACGATGTGAGTCTGGAGACGAGTTTCAAGTCGGACCTGAACAGGGCTGCGGCCACGAATCAGGATCGCTACAATACTATGGTCACAGAATTCAGGAGACAGGCGTTGGAATACTTTTTGCGCCAACAATTGGCACAGATGCTGGTGGATTTTAAATACATTCATAAAAGTAACGTAGATCCAGACGACCCTTTATGGACAATTTATGGACAGTCTATACACGTTAAACAGTGTTCACTCGACGCATATAAATGCGATATTGCCATCACTTTATTGGATAACATAGAAAATAAGCAAAATATTGGAGAATTTATCAGAATGCTTTGCGTTGACTCTACGACTGACAATGAATGTAATTTGTTAAACGAGATTGGTCCAAACACTGCCCCCATAGAACCATCCCTCACGACTGACGGCTACCGGTCTAGAGCTGGAACAGATAAACCGCTTTTTTCAATGGTCCTTGATAAAACTAAATTGACCAACACCAAACTTGGTGTCTACAATGTAAGTCATGATAAATAATTTAAAAATTTTATAATACATTTTATATTAGCATGGTGTTTTAATAATGCATATGTTGTGCAGAATTGTGGATCGGGAACAGATTTATGCGGTCAATATTCAAAGTGTAAATCGGCCCCTGACTCGTCCCAATACACCTGCGAGTGTCCCACCAAAGGGTTTAACATTACTGGTTATCGGGAAATACCTGTAGTAGGAAAAACCTCGATCAAATTGCCAATATGCGGATGTATGTAGTATATTTTGTTGATATTTATGAATCAAATGTTTACAATGAAATGCTTAATGTTTACAGTGAAAGACAATCGTTGCGACGACTGCCTAAAGATAGACAATAATGATTGCAAACAATTGGCCCCAAAGTATATTGAAGCCGACGATTTATGGACAGCACCCGTACATTGCGAGTGCAAGTCAGAGCATAAGGTGAAGGGTGACCAGTGTGTCGGTAGGTGCAACCATAATCAACGAGTTTGCTAATTATATCTGTATAAGAGATATTGCAGTAAAATTAATATTTAATATGATAACAGGTGTGTGCGATGGGGTTCAGTGTAATCGTGGTAAATGTGTGCCGAAGGGTAAGAATGGTAACGCCTGTCTGTGCGACGGGGGTTGGAGTGGAGACAAATGTGAGACAGAAAAGGCTGACCCACCCCTCGGCGGTTGGATTGCCGGCATCAGCGTATTGGCTGTGGTGTGTCTCGTATTGATCGTGGTGGCTTTTATATTTTTTAAAAGGTAGTTTACACTCTATTTAAGTCATACATTATTATTATTTTAAACCAATTTTATAAACTTGGAAAGTATCAGAGAAATAGTTCATTGTAGCAAAATTACATTTATGATTTTTAAAATAAAATTTGGTGTAAATTTTAATTAATTCTTGGTTCATAGGTCACGAAAACCCAAATTTCAGAATAACAATACACAGCAAATGAGCGACTTTTCCACACAATCTTATCGAGTGGGACAGCAAAACAACACTAATTCTAATTATAATAACGAGTGTTTCAACCGTGATTAAATAACTTATAAATTATTGTTTTAAACATATAATCATTTTTCAAATGAAATATAAAAATTTTAATTTTGATTAATTTTAATAGTTAATTTTGTGATTATTAAATGTATTAAAAGTCCTCTTTATAAAAAATAAATGTTTAATAAATTTTTCATTATTTATATAATAAATTTCTATTTAAATAATTTGTATTAATAAATATAAATAGTGTGATAAAATCATGATAACCATAAAATGAAATAATTTAAATATTTGTGATATTATTTATCATCATCATTATTGACATCGTCTGTTACACTCTCCTCATCCATATCCCAATCCTGGCGTTTCGCTGACCCGAAGATAGCAAACACAACGCCTCCTAATATATTGATAGCGGCGGACATATAGAAGATATAACTCCATTGCCGTCGGGTCTGATCGCTGGCATCGAGTATATACCCGATCACTAGTGGTGTTATGAAACCACACGTAAACGCTATGGTGTTTCCGATTGCAAACACTGTGGCCGTAAAATTTCCCGATAGATCTATTGTGCAAAATGTCATCACCATGTTGAATTAATATAATTCTTAACAATACTTTTAAATTTAAATATTTAATATTGTTAAATTGTTGTCATACCTGCTACTACTGCTGACTCTCCCCCGGCAATCATACCTAAAGCAATCATTGCCTATTATAAAGATAAAAATATATATAAATTTGTTTTAATTTTTTTTAATTTAATTTATGCATACAATTATTATTAAGGCTATAACAAGTGTATCATTGCATCCAGACAGTGGTATGGCTGCCAAACAGATACCAGAGCCTAACGTAGCTATTAAATCAAATTAATGTATTAGCATTAAGTAAATTGTATAAATAATCAATTATAAAATTAAAATTATTTACTGTTCAATGTATAGTATTAATTGAAACTTAATTACAGTTAATCTAATAACTGAGATTCACTTAATGAGCACATTTAAAATATGGTTCATAACAAACAAAATATATTTACTGTGCATTGATCTAGGCAAATCATTTTTAAATATTTACCTAATGTATGCTATACAGAATATTTCAATACTCCTAGAATCCAGTAACTGGACAGATTATTACTATAATAATTTGTAATGTACAATATATAATGGTAAAGTCCTTTTTATTTAAGTCACTTTATAATGTAATGTCATTTTACTTCTAAACTCACCGGTTGTTTCAAAGAGTTTTCTCAATAATGTTTTATCCATAATATTTTTACTTATTATAAAGTCGGCCAAAAATCCGCTCATAAATAAACTGCAAATAATTTTTGAATTAAAATTAAAATGTAATTTAGAGAAAGAGAAGAGAGTGAGTGAGAAAGAGAGACCTGATAGTCAAAACACCGTAAATTAATGATCCTATGAGTCCGATCTATAAGGATTGTGAAGTCAATCATATACTTTAATTTATAAAAACAATTTTAATATACCTTAACGACTGGATATCTGAAAACTGATTGCAAATATGCGGGATATTTTAACAAAAACAATGTATAACTCCAATTCATACAAAATTTGACAAAATATAGTGACAGAACTTCCTTTGATGTCAATATCTTAAGCCACGGCACCGACCGTTTAGGCCTATCTTTATTGTCAACACTTGTATTATTTGCGGCAATGTTTGAGTGAATGTAATTGAGTTCGTGCTCTGAAATCCATGGATGATCTTTGGGCTCACTTTTCACAACTAGTGTCCACAATATTATCCAAAAAACTCCAATCATAGCTATAAAAGTAAATGTTACAAATTGATCATGTTGTTTTCCAAATTACCAGGAACATAGAAAATTGATGGCCAGCCTCCGGCAAAACCATGTTCTGCTAAATACCCCGATAGAGATGTTGTGACAATTTTGCCAATATTTGATCCAATTAAAGGTAATGCAAGAAATGTACTAAAAGTTTTGAGTAATTAAATAAAATTATAACTTTAATTAAATATACAGATAAAATAATTAATGTTTGAGCAATTCACTATACCTGCGCTCGTGGTCGGGCACCCATTTGGCAAACAGGGCAAAAATGGATGGAAATATAAATGCTTGAAACATACCCAACACCACACGACTGGCCAACAGTAGCCAATAATAACCAGATCTGGCGATTAGTGGTGTCAACGCATTAATAACTAAAGAGGCGGCTATACCTCCAGTGCACAGCCATTTGGCACCAAAAAGCTCGGCCAGTCGTCCGCCGAGCACTTGAAACACGAGATATCCGTAGAAAAATGCGCCCAAAATCACTCCCTGTGTGCTCTCATCCCAATCAAACTCTCCCGAGTTGTGACTTTTGGTGCTATTTTTGTCAGCACTGGTGACACAGATATCACTGCTCCGGGAACTGGATTTGTTAAACTTAGCCATCACTACAATAGCTGTGCTTAGGTTTATGCGACACATATACAGCATAACAGTGCAAAATATTGTCAATGCTGCTATAACATACCGAATAGGTATGCATTTTGAGCTAGTCCTTGGATTGTCCATGCTTATTTTTGTTGTTTTTTATTTAAGAATACACTTGGTTTGCTTACAGCCGACATATTGAGAACATTACAAAGTTGGACAACAATTAATTAAGGTATTTATAAATATATTGTACAACCACATAAAACAATATATAAGTTCGTATGTTGCATAATGAATAAACAATATCTTGTACCTACTTATCATGAATAAGTATGTATCAGCGATAGGAGCTGATACATTAGCTTAACTTTAAAGTTCACCCATTTTATTTATTAAAAATAATTTATCACATATAGAGTATGTTACATATAATATTTATTTATTATATTGTAAGTATGTTTAAATATTACCAAGTTTGAGTATTATCATTAAAATACCTGGAAAATATACTGGGTAAAATATAAATCGTGATAACAGGATCAAATATCTCAAAGAGTACTTGACACAAATTTTTATATACATTTTATTATAATATAATAATAATTTAATTTTAATAAATATATTTTATATTATTTATATAATAAATATTTAATTAAATAATTTAAATAGTTGTAATAATTTTATCATCATTTGTTACACTCTCCTCATCCATATCCCAATCCTGTCGTTTTGCTGACCCGAAAATGGCGAACACAAGTCCTCCCAATATATTCAAAGCGGCGGACATATAGAAAATATAACTCCATTGCCGTCGGGTCTGATCGCTGGCGTCCAGTATATACCCGATCACTAGTGGTGTTATAAAACCACACGTAAACGCTATGGTATTCCCGATTGCAAATACTGTAGCCGTAAAATTTCCCGATATATCTATTTTGAGAATATTATTTAAACATGTTAACTTTAAGTGTAGACATGTTAACATGGTTAATACCTGCAATTACTGCTGATTCACCCCCGGCGATCATGCCACAAGCTAACATTGCCTGTTAATTTTTAATATGTATGTAAATTATATTATATTTAATTATAAATCACGAATTCATACAATCATTATTAAGGCGATAACAAGCGTATCATTACATCCGGCCAGTGGTATGGCTGCCAAACAGATGCCGGAGCCTATCGTTGCTATTAAATCAAATCAAAATAAAATATTCCATTAATTAATAAAAATTATTGATTATGGAAAATGAGATTGTCTGTTGTACAATGTATACTTGTAGTTTAAACTATCGTAAATAAAAAAAATTTAATGACATAAATATGCACTTTTTGAATATAATAACAGTCAAAACACTTGAGATTAATGACGCTAACTTTAGCTTTAAATTAATCTGGATAATTATCAAATCAACATTATTTGCTATTTAGGTATAGTATGGTACAGAATTTCTTCAATGGTACAAATATTACTCTGGTTGGCAGTAATGTACTAAATATAAAGGTAAATTATATGGCAAGTATTATATTAGTGCGATTTAATGTCATTTTACACATAACTCACCCGTTGTTTCAAATAGTTTTCTTAATAATGTCTTATCCATTATATCTTTACGGATTATAAAGTCGGCCACAAAACCGCTGATAAATAAACTGCAAATATATATTTAATGATAAGTCATATTAATTAAAGATAATGATGCTGAAGAGAGCAAGTGGGTGAGTAGGTAAGTGAGTTAAAGAGAGAGAGAGAGAGAGAGAGAGAGAGAGAGATTACCTGATGGTCAAAACAATATATACTAGTGATCCTATGAGTCCATTCTGTAATTTGGAAAAAATTCTATAATATACATTTAGTAATACATTTCTCTATACCTTTTCTACGGGGTATCTAAAAACTGATTGTAAATATGCGGGAAGTTTTAGAAGAAACAATATATAACTCCAATTCATGCAAAATTTTACAAAATATAGCGACAAAACTACTTTTGATGTACAAATCCTAAGCCACGGCACCGATAGTTTAGGCCTATCCTTATTATCAGCTCTTGAATTATTTGCGGCAATGTTTGACTGAATATAATTGAGTTCGTGGTCTGAAATCCATGGATGATCTTTGGGCTCACTTTTCACAACCACTGTCCATACAATAAGCCATAAAATTCCAATCATTGCTATAAAAATAATTAAAATACAAACATATATTATAAATAGTTTTATAAACTTAACGACTCAAAAAGTTACCAGGTACATAGAAGACTGAAGGCCAACCTCCGGCGAACCCATGCTCTGCTAAATATCCAGATAAAGCTTGTGTAGCAATTGTGCCAATATTTGATCCCATTGTTGGCATTGCAAGAAATGTGCTAAAAGTTTTGAGTAGTCAAATTAAAAAATAAGTTAAACTTTATAATACAAGTTATTAGTTATATAACTATATTTGTGTAATTTTTAAACAATATAATATACCTGCGCTCGTGGTCGGGCGCCCATTTGGCAATCAGGGCATAACTCGCTGGAAATATAAACGCTTGAAACATACCCAACACCACACGACTGGCCAACAGTAGCCAATAAGGACCCGATTTTGCTATAAGTGGTGTCAACGCATTAATTACTAACGAGGCGGCTATGCCTCCAGTGCACAGCCATTTGGCACCGAAAAGCTCGGCCAGTCGTCCGCCGAGCACTTGAAACAAGAGGTATCCGTAGAAAAATGCACCTAAAATAACTCCCTGTGTGCTCTCATCCCAATCAAACTCTCCCGAGTTGTGACTTTTGTTGCTGTTATTGTCAGCATTGGTCGCACAGATATCACTGCCCCGGGAACTGGATTTGTTAAACTTGGCCATCACTACAATAGCTGTGCTTAGGTTTATGCGACACATATACAACATGACTGTACACAATAAAGTCAGCACCGCTACAATATACCGGATGGGTATACATGGTGCATTACCCTTTGGTTTGTCCACGGTAATGTGTGGTGGTGTTTCATTCATTATTATTCAAATTAATTAAGCAACTTTTAAATATAACTTTAAGCAATAATTTTTAATTAAGTTTGTCAAAAGTGCAATTATTATTCTAAGCATTGATTAATACCACATGATTTTATACCTAAATAATTTATTTGTGATAAATTAATATGTCTGTCAATTCTAATCATCATTATAATGCGAGTAATCTTTCTGCTTGATTAAATTAGCAGTTAATTGCCCTAAAGAATATTAACTTCTTAAGTATAATAAACTGCTTTACTATTGGAAATTAATATTAGTTTAAATACAAACTCTAATTAGTAATTATTATTATTTAATTTAGTTTTATAAATTACAATTAAATTGTTTGATATCAATTGCTTGTTTCAATTAAATAAACTAGGTTATGTAAACAATTATTTTACAGATTAAGACATTTATATTTCAATGATAAATAAAACAAATGAGTTGTAATATGGATTGGTTTTGGTATTTATAAACTATTATAATTAAACATACTAAATTGAAATATTTTAGCATAAATTCAAAATTACTTATATAATACATTTAAATGTTCATATTTACATTAATTTATTTTTAAAATGTTATTAACTCTATTAATTAATTATCCTATTTAGGTAGCAATTTTCAGTATTTTGCACTTGATAACAATGATTATGTACACATGAGATGCTAAATATGCTAAATTTTAGTGATAGTAATCTCTTCTGTTTGGTGTTCGTCATCCATATCCCAGTCCTGTCGTCGTGCGGACCCGAAAATGGCGAACACAAGTCCTCCCAATATATTGATTGAGGCGGACATATAGAAAACATACCCCCATTGCCGTTGTGTTTGGTCACTGGCCTCCAGTATATACCCGACCACCAGTGGTGTTATAACACCGGTTGTAAATGCTATAGTATTTGCGATTGAAAACACTGTTGCTGTAAAATTTCCGGTCATATCTATGATAACAATTTAATTTGATTTGATTAATCTATAAATGTCATTTGTTAGTAATAGAAAATAACTATTAATTATTATTATTAAATTATTATTATTACCTGCGGCTATAGCATTGTCACCACCCGAATACATACCATACAATAACATTCCCTATAAATTACATAATATTACGTTACATGTTCATTTAGTAATAATATTAATTAAATTATAAGTTAATATGTTAACTATGAATCAGGCTTACAAGAATTAATAAAGCAATAACAACTGTGTCGTTACAACCGGCCAGTGGTATGACAATAATACATATTGATGAACCAATTGATGCTATGAAATACAATTATAATAATTGAATGAATTAATTAGATTATCAATAATTTATATATTGATATCACTTACCGATAGATTCAAAAATTTTTCTTAATAATGTTTTATCGATAATGTTTTTGCTAATTATATAGTCAGCCAATATTGCACTGATGGATACACTGATAAAATATATATTTTAATATCAATCGTAATATGAGAGTAAGATAGATAGATAAAAAAATAGAGAGAGAGAGAGAGAGAGAGAGAGAGAGAGAGAGAGATACCTTAATGACAAAACTACATATACGAGGGCCACTATGAGTCCTATCTGTGAGAATTGACTATTAAAGATTAATGAAATTAAACAAAATATTGTAATTTATATGTTACTTTATCGACGGGATAATTGAATACGGTTTGAAAATATGCGGGTAGTTTCAATAGAAATATATTATAAATCCAGGTCATGGTAAATCTGACCACAAGAAATGACAACACTTGTGTCGATGTGAACACCTTAAGCCACGGCACCGACCGTTTAGGTCTATCTTTATTGTCAACACTTGTATTATTTGCGGCAATGTTTGAGTGAATGTAATTGAGTTCGTGCTCTGAAATCCATGGATGATCTTTGGGCTCACTTTTCACAATAAATACCCAAAATAACAAACTCACTGATGCGGTCATTGCTAATGAGAAGACATAGAATTATTAACAGTATTTCATTCATAAATAATTATGTAACAAATATAATTACCAGCTACATAGAAAACCGATGGCCAGCCTCCGGCAAATCCATGCTCTGCCAGATATCCCGATAGGGCTGTTGTAACAATAGACCCAATATTTGCTCCAAGGGTTGGAAAGGCTAGGAATGTACTGAAAATTTGCACACATAATGTAATAATTTGCATTTAAAATAAACTGATTAATCATACCTGCGCTCGTGGTCGGGTATCCATTTAGTCAACAAGGCAAAACTCGAGGGAAATATAAACGCTTGAAACATACCCAACACCACACGACTGGCCAGAAGTAGCCAATAAGGAGCAGATCTGGCAATAAGTGGTGTCAAGGCGTTAATCACAATAGACGCTGCTATACCTCCGGCGCACAACCATTTGGCGCCGTAAATCTCGGCCAGTCGTCCGCCGAGCACTTGAAGCACGAGATATCCGTAGAAAAATGCGCCCAAAATGACTCCCTGTGTGCTCTCATCCCAATCAAACTCTCCCGTGTCGTGGGATTTGGTGCTGTTATCGTCAGCACCGGTAACGCACACATCACTGCTCGATGAAGAGCTAGATTTGTTGAACTTAGACATCGCAACGATAGCTATGTTTATATTTGCGCGACAAATATACAAGTTAACGGTGCACAATAGAACCAACCCTGCTATAATATACCGCACCGGTACATATTTAGCTTGAGTTTTACCCTCATTATTGCTATTAATATTGACGAAATCTTTATTTAATTTATTCATTATACAATATTTATTTTTTTAATAAAATCCAAATAAAATACAACTTTTGTTTTCGTTAATAAATACAAAATAAAAATAGAATCTATAAAATAAATTGTTTTTTTTAATTTATATAAAAGTTTATAAACTACTTTATACGATAATTTACCTACCGCACTAATTGTACAAGATATTTATTAATCAATTAATCCTATATAACATTATATCAAATTTGAACCTTGATTTATGTAAGAATAACGGTTATCAATATTATAATAGAATGTGACCTATCGATTAAGAAGCATGCTAAATCTATTAAGTTTATAACAGACTGACATCATTTTCAATAATAAGTTTAATACAAATAGTAACATATTATGATTAAACTGATAAATTATTTACCAATAAAGTAACAACAAAAATAAGTAATGTAATATACAGATTAATAAAGGATTGTGTTGTGCAAGAGGTCATATTATAATCTTTAGTATCAAAGATATCAAATATAATATTCCAATTTTGTTATAAAGTTTATAGCATCAGTTTACCTTGTTCATAATGGAACACCAGTTATGTCACCTTGGTTATTTTTAATATATTACATATCTGGTAGTTATACTTAAATATAAATTAGATTACAAAATTGCCCTAGGCGGACAATTACCTATAAAATGATAAAACTGTCTTTGTACTAATTATGCACAGGAACTTAATAGAAATTCAAGAACTGAAAATGAACTGAAAATGCACTATCCTAGTTGAATTTCACTATTTAGATAAATTATTTATTATTTTAAATTATTTAAATAAATTTATTAATATCTAGATTTTATATATAAGGTGATAATAAGCACTAATGTGATAAATTTAAAAGTTTGAAATAACAATATTACACATTATTTATAATAGAAAATTCTATTTTTAATTGTATATTTAAAAGTACCATTATTTATTATCTAGTAATAATATTACGTTTATAACTGTTTTAGAATATGATAATAATTTTAAAGTTTTTCAAAATAATTTAATATTTAATATTAAAATAGTTTATCTAATAGTTGTATAAAAGTAAATATGAAAAATAATTTACAATGAATTACAAAAATGACAGTTAAATGTTTTTCGACGATCACAATAATACGTTAACTTCTGGTTATAGAGCGTTCATCCGTCTCAATAACCTCATCCATATCCCAATCCTGTCGTTGTGCTGATCCAAAAATGGCGAACACAAGTCCTCCCAATATATTTAAGGCGCCGGACATATAGAAGATATAACTCCATTGCCGTCGGGTCTGATCGCTGGCGTCCAGTATATACCCGACAACGAGTGGTGTTATAACACCGGTTGTAAACGCTATGGTATTCCCGATTGCAAATACTGTGGCCGTAAAGTTGTTTGTCATGTCTATTGTACATAAGAATATAGGAATAATGATTAAAACTAATTTATTGATTAAAATAATTTAAATAAATAATTAATTAACAAACCGGCCACCACTGCAATCTCACCCCCGGCCGATACGCCAAACAATAACATTCCCTGCAAAATATAAAATGTTAATTTTAGTATGATTATCATGATATTTAAATTGGTTTATATTAATATTACAATCATTAATAAGGCGATAACAACGGTGTCATTACAACCAGCCAATGGTATTAATGCCAAACTGATTCCTGCCCCAAACGTAGCTATAATATATCATGGTGGATTTAATTTAATTATTACGATGATTAAATATAAATATACTGGAAATATGTTTATATATTATATTTATACTTAAAATCTAATTCGTATTAAAAAGATTTACTATAAATTAGTTTCTAATTAAAATAAATACTACCTGTACATAATTATATTTAACGTACTTGGTAATTTACACACTGATATTACACATAAATATCTACTCAATAACTTACAATCTATTACCTTAATTAACAATAGATATAGCTAAATATCATTTTGATATAAACTCCTTAATTCATCATAGACATGTGATAAAATAATGATATTACTAAATATTAAATGTTTATATTTACCAATTGTTTCAAATAATTTTCTCAGCAATGTTTTGTTCATTACATTTTTACGAACCAAATAATCGGCTAGAAATCCACTCGCGAATAAACTAATACATGTAGATTAATTGATAAATAACTAATTGAAACTTTTTATTATTTAAAATAATATTATAGTATTTAGAAAAATATAAATCAGCTATACTATAAATTATATAATAATTATTTTAGAGTAGAAATGTTTTGTGATAAACACTTACCTTATTGTCAAAACTACATACACTAATGAGCCGATGAGACCATTCTGTAATTAATGTTATTTATTTAAAATTATTTGTGTACATGTTGTCAAACTAAACATACTTTATCGACAGGATATTTAAAAACAGATGAAAAGTACGCTGGTAGTTTCAATAAAAACAGTACGTAATTCCAATTCATGGTAAATTTGGCTAAATATACGGCCAAAACAGGTTTGGATGTGCAAATCTTAAGCCACGGCACCGATCGCTTGGGTCTATCTTTATTGTCAACACTTGTATTATTTGCGGCAATGTTTGAGTGAATGTAATTGAGTTCGTGCTCTGAAATCCATGGATGATCTTTGGGCTCACTTTTCACAAACAAAACCCATAACACGAGCCAAACACATGCTATCATTGCTTTTGTTGAATATAAATTTTTAATTCAAATAATATAAATACCTTAAATAGTAAAAGGTAAAATATAAACCTGAGACATAAAACACTGATGGCCAGCCCCCTGCAAACCCGTACTCCGCCAGATATCCCGACAACGATGTGGTGGCTATTGTCCCAATATTTCCCCCAATAGTCGGGAACGATAGAAATGTACTACAGTATGACATTGTATAAATCAAATACAATAATTAGCATGATTTTATTTGTCAAAAATAAAATTTAAATAATCTAGATTATATTTCGGTCTGGATTATGTACCTGCGCTCGTGATCGGGTGCCCACTTGGAGAACAAGGCGTAACACGACGGAAAAATAAACGCTTGAAACATACCCAACACCACACGACTGGCCAACAGTAGCCAATAGATATTGGTTCGGGCAATGATTGGTGTCAATGCGTTGACCACAATCGACATACCGATGCCGACAGCGCACAGCCATTTGGCGCCGAAAATCTCGGCCAGTCGTCCGCCGAGCACTTGAAACACGAGATATCCGTAGAAAAATGCGCCCAAAATGACTCCCTGTGTGCTCTCATCCCAATCAAAGTCTCCCGAGTTGTGACTTTTGGTGCTATTTTTGTCAACACTGGTCGCACAGATATCACTGCCGGCGGAACCGCTGGACTTGTTATACTTAGACATCACCACAATTGCTGTGCTTAGGTTTATACGACACATATAGAGATTAAAAGTGCAAAACAGCACGAGACCGGCCACCATATACCGCACCGGTATAGTTGGTGGCTTAGTTTTTTGGTCATTTGTACTACTGAACTGATCACCACCTTCAATGACCGCTTTATTTGTGTTGTCTGTCATAACTAAATAACTGTTTTGTTATGAGTTATAGCAATTATTATGCTCTAAATCTAATTCTTATATACATGTGTTTGTTTCTAATTAAAATAATTATGATAATTTTAATCAATTGTCTCAATAGTAATGCTTACACAAATAAGATATTTAATCAAAAAGCTTATATTGCTTGTTTAGTTTGTTTTGAAAGGGTATGCCTAACCTTTATTATTTATGATTATAAATGATCATGCATTGTTAAGAATACAATAAATTTTACTAAAATATAATAGTCTTTATAAACATATTTTAATTATATTGTTTTATACTTAAATTTAAATTTTAAACACATAACACTTATTGTAATTAGTAATTATATAAACTTAGTAAAATTGACATAATAAATTTCTAGAAAAATAACGGCAACCTATTTTTAAAAATATACAAAAATCGCTATACATTATTATATTTGACATTTAAATATAATCTTTATTAAGACCATAATAATCTATTAACTGATCCATCCGTTCCAGTAGTTGTATCCCTAAGTCCACAACTCTTTCCGGTGTCGGCGCTCACCTCATGAGTGGTCTCTTTGTCCCACTCCTGTCTATCAGCGGAACCGAAGATAACAAACACAACGCCTCCGAAGGCGTTGATGGCGGCGCTCATGTAGAAGACATACCCCCACTGGTGGCGGGGGTTATGTGTGTCCGCCTCCACTACCCAAGCGATTATCATCGGTGTTATGAAACCGCAAATATACGCCACTGTATTGGTTATGGCAAACACTGTTGCCGTATAGTTACTCGTCATATCTGTGTTATTCATTTGTGTTGTTATTTGTATTGCTTTTAATTATTGTTCATTTTTAAAATAATATTTGTATTTATATCTTATTGTTAATGAATGGACATAACTATTATTACCTGATATAACAGGTATATCACCGCCTGAATAAAAGCCATAGAATACCATTCCCTAAATAAATAATTAAGTTAAATACAAAGAATATTATTTTAACAAAATTATTACAATAAATAACAAGGAAAGGACCAAAGTATTATTGCATTGCGCCAATGGAATAGCAGCCAAACATATAGATGAGCCAAATATTGCTATAATAAATGTTAAATAATTACAAATTAATAGTAATTAACAAATAATTAATAAATTGTTAAAAAGTCCTAAAAATTATAATATTATCTCATAAAGAAGTGAAAAGTCGATAATTAGACAAAATGTTTAAATAATTGTTTAATATTTTAGCTTTTATTTTAATAAATTCAATAATAATAAATTTAATAAAGTATCCTATAGATAAGACTATAGATTATTAAATTACTAATTTATATTAATAAGTTAGATTTATTATAAAACTCTTGAAATCACATTGAATTTATAAGGTATAAATTAATTAATTATGTAAATAATTATTAAACTATTTGACATTTATGCAAAATACAAGTCTACAGCTGTACATATTGATAAGGCATTGATATACAAACCGATTGATTCAAATATTTTTCTCAAACGTGTTTTACTGATAATTTGTTTGCCGAGAATATAGTCGGCAAAGAATCCGTTACCAAAAATACTGGAATGATAACAATAAAATGTTAATAAAAATAACAATAATTTAGCATTTATCTAATCAATTAATTAAGTACTTTAATTGTTTTATAAAGCGCTTATACAGTAGCATAAATAAATCAATAAGGTGCAAAATTTTCGAGTACTCCTATTAGTTCAAACGCTTTAGTGCAGTACTTATGTTGTGTTTTATACATTAAAACTATACATTATTTATCAAATTAATTTAATATTTATCACATGATAATCAATTGACGCAATTTTTAGTACAGGAATTTACTCAAAATACTTTAATTAATTAGAATAAAAATGTGGTCTAGGATGGTGAGACTAATTTTATTATTCTGGCACATTAGTAATGTGACATTACTATATTTTAAAATTAAATTAAAACGTATAGTTAATTCCTAGCTGCATTTAGCTACATTAATTATGAGGAATTTTATCGTTAATATTTAATTAATGTTTTCGTGCTTTTCTTATAAATTGTATAAATTCTTCACTACATTTGTAAAAAGGCATTGATTTCAATAATGAAACTTAATTCATGTTTAGGCACTCAATTACTTTACACGAGTTTTGTATTAAAAGTTGAATTAATTTAATTCGAAAATTGCAAGTTTTGATATGTCATTAATGTTTTAATATTTTAATCAACAATTATAAGAGAAATTACTTGAATTCGCTAAAATCAATTGCAATCACAAAGATAATTATTTTATAAATAAAAGAGATAATAATAAATACATAATAATAAAAATATCATTAAATTTTTACCTGAGTGTCAAAACAATATAGATTAAAGAAACAATTAATCCATTCTAGAATAGAATAAATTAATTAATAATTTGTATTTTAAATACAAATATTTGTATATAAGAATAGGCTTGTACACCGTAGCAAGAGCATTACCAACATAGCTACCAGTCATGGGTGGTGCTACCCCCATAACAAACAAAAATAAGCCAATCATTGCAAAAACACGCGTTTTTTATGGGGGTAACCACACGCATAACTGGTTGCTATGTTGGTAATGCGATTGCCAGGCTGTATATACTGTAAGAATACAAACCTTATCAACAGGGTAATGAAACACAGATTGAAAGTATGATGGTAATTTCAGTACGAGCACTATATAAATCCAATTCATTGTGAATTTTGTAATAATAATAGCAATCACTGGAATTGATGTGAATATCTTAATCCATGGAACCGGTAGTTTAGTCTTTTTATCTAGATTGTCAGTTGAATAGGACTTATTGTTTGATTGTATATAATCCAGTTCTTCAGTTGAAATCCATGGATGATCTTTGGGTTCACTTTTCACAAATATTATCCATATTACTAACCATACGGTTGCTATTATTGCTGTTTAAGGCATTGTCAAAGAGTTAATTTTATTTTAATTAAAACTTTACAATACAAATAATAACAGTAATTACCGGACATATAGAACACTGAGGGCCAACCGCCGGCAAATCCATGTTGGGCTAGATATCCAGACAGAGCTGTTGTGGCAATTGATCCAATGTTTGCACCAATTGGCGGAAATGTTAACATGGTACTAAATACATAATTTACAACTTAATTTTTATTATTAT